CCGCGCTCCGCCCGCCCCGCGCCCCGCTCGTCCTCCCCCTGCGCCGCTTCTCCTCCCCGTTCGCCGTCCGCTGCCGTGTGCGCGGGAGCGGCCGCCGGCGCTGCCCTCCGCCTCTGCCCGTCCTCGCACCTAAGTCCYGCGCGGGAGCCCGCGGGAGCCTGGCGAGCAGCGCGGGGAGCGCCCGGGAGCCGCGTTTCTGCCCGTCCCCGCGCTTCCTTGTGCGCCACAAAGGGTTAACGGCGTTTGGGTTAACGGCGTTTGGGCAGGCAGAGGGTCCTGCTGCTCTCGAGCATCAGGATCTGGAGCTTGTGGTGCCAGGAGGTCACCAAATGAAATGAGTGACGGCCCCTGTGCCAGTCCCAGGAGTTGGGCTTAGTCTGACCAGAGCTGGGCAGTTGGGCAGGTGGTGCAAGAAARTGGCCCAATCCACCGTGAGGGACATCTTGCTGTTCACCCTGCAGGCAGTGGAACCAGAACACGCAGGAGGAGCCCAGCCGCTCCTCCGCGCTGCCCCTGCTCGTGGGTTATCCAGTGGTTCCCAGCTGCACTAGGACAGGTCCTGCCCACGCCATGCTCCGTACGGACAAGGTGGCGCCAGGGGCTCGGAGCGCGCGGTGCAGGTGAGCCTGTGGCTGCCGGGATATGAAGCAGGGCCAAGTCATTTGCTGYGTCACATACGTCCTTGCACTGGTGCCAGCAGCCCCTCTGCACCACAACCCGAGCGCTGGGTGCGACTGCTGTCACACAGGCCAGGATCAGACATGCTGCATGCGTAGGAACTGGGGCCGGAGCCTAATCCTGCCTGCCAGCATGGCCCAACAGCCCGCCAAGTTTTAAGCTCATTGGGAAAAATGGGCCTGAATTAATTCTTTGTCAAAGGCTGTCGTGGAGATGGAGAAGCAGAGGGAATTTAGCCCTTGGGTGTGACTTTCCGCCTTGCTTTTTGTGCTCGCTGGAGTCCTAGAGCGGGGTGAAATGCAGAAAGGCCAGTGCCTTTGTAATGAAAGCCCCAATATTTGTGTGCAGCATCTTGCTGACTTTCCGCCAGTCCCTTTTCCAGCTGTGATGAACAACTGGCTGCATCTGCATGGGCTGTGGAGCCCAGYGCCACCATGTCCAGCTGCTGGATGCCAGCACAAGGCCACAAGGAAAAGGGGATTGACCAACATTTGAATGGAATACTTAAAAATATGTAGGTACTGTATATTGTCATATACACTACAGCTCCACTACCTGTTTTAAATTAAGATTTAAGCCAGTGCTTAAGTACTGAAGGATTGGAGGTTACCCTGGTGGGAACTAGCTCTGCTAGAAGTGCTTTCAGCAGACTCTTTACACCCTCTCAGTATGAAGCAGCAAGAAATACCTCTTCTCTCTGCACTTGTTGGGTTTGCCGCTTAATAGAGTCAGGGAAATGGGTAAATTTCTGATTATTGACTTCAGTTTGGGGGGTCACATTGGGGTACTGGGCACTACGGGGTGTAATTTATGGTAGGGGCTGTGTAAACTGCTAGTACAGAACGTTACCYGGATTGCGAGCGTTGCAGTGAAGCAACAGCTCAAGTGTGAATTCCTAACCAACTCCAAACCTAAGGAAGCTTTGCAGGCTTCAGGCTAGGGTTTGGACATTCAATGGTCCCTTAGGTGCCACTGGGAACCTTTCCAGGCCTGCTACGGGCCACGCTGCCTTCCACCAATGCCTTGGACCTGCTGTCGGGACAGCGAGTGCTAGAGGCCTTTGGGGAGGCCTCTAGAGACTCAGGGAGCAGGGAGCTGGCATCGCAGGGGTCAGTATTGGAAGCCCCRAGTGAGACATGGGGCTGGCAGAGATGGCCAAGCGGCAGTGGGCGTCCCCAAAGGCAGACCTGGCTGGGCCGCTTGGTTCCCGCTTTGCCCATGCTACTTTAACCTCCTGGAAAGTCAATCGATAGGCAAGGATTTGGATGTGGATCTGGGCTTGCACCTTAGTGCCTCCAGCTGCATCATTTCCAGCAAAAAGATTGGGAAACTGTGCTGAGATAAATGACACAACCGGAAGGTTTATGTGTTTGTGCAGAGAGGGGACAAATGCTGAGTCCGCTCAGTCAGGCAGCGGAAACACAGAGCTCCTCGAGCAGCTTTTTGCTGTTGCTTGAGCTTCAGCACAGCCCAAGGGCAGGGGACAGGGAGGTTCCTGCCAGAGGTTCCTGCCAGAAATGTCACCCCGAGACCTGCATCCCCACATRGTTTCCGGGAGGTTTTCAGGGAGCCCATGAGCTGCCATTCGGTCCCTCCTTTATTTCCACGCTCTTTGATAATGTCTTTCTCTCCTTAGAGGGCAAGAAGATCCTTCCCAATCTTGATTCGAGTTGAGAGCGTCTCCGTGCCGGATACCTTAGTGAGAAGTCTGGAAATTGGGTATGTATGCAATCTAGGAGAGAGGCTGCCTAATAAGCATGGTTTCTCATTTGAATCTCCTTGTGTCCTGCTGGCAGAGCACGGAGCGTTATTACTCATTCCTYGGGGCTCGGATAGAAAACGAGCCTGTGCTGGTCTGCCAGGAGAAGGGCTTTTTAATCCCCCTGCAGTTCACCGGGCAAAGGAGCTCCATGAGTTATGCTCTCAGGGAGGAGGCCGAGTCAATTATTTAATACACAAAGGCTTGTTCTTAAGTATCAGACCTGTTGATTCAGAGATGCACGTAA